TTTCAAATTATTTTCATCTAGAATTTAAAATACCCTATCTGAATCATTTTAAGCGCTTTTTTACCATCACCCATTAAAAATGCGAAATTATTCCTAATTCGAGACTCTTCATCCAAGGCTGTGTCATTAGGATATTGAAGAGATCTTCCGGTAAGGCGTTTAAATGTTGGTCATTCAATGTCGAGGTGGTATCTCTAGGATTGATGCCTTGGGTTGGAGTAAAGTACAAACTGACTGAACAAAAAGATCGATGGATATTTTTGAAAAAGACACCAAATGTCAGTTTTATTCGTCTTTTCTATAAAGTACGAATTTAAATAGTGGGTTGGAACAAAAGTTTGTAGCGTTTTTCAAAATGCGGCGTTTGAGCGCATGATTTCATTTCACACATGACTGAAATTTCTGACATACATATTCTAAAAGGAAACATTTTTACGCATATTGAATTTAGCAACCGATGATGTCGACTTTTCTTTCTTCTTTTCGGATTATTGCTTTTGATTGTGTTTGACACAGTGCATCGCCTTTCCCCACTATAAAAAAATGTATTGCTTGATATTATGATATCTTACTTGATGATGCACAGACTAGCTGTAGCCTAAAGAGGCAGCCAACTCAATGATGACAAACAATTTTATTAATAGATAGAGCAAAACTCTGGAAATGTTTCAGAACAATTCCTGGATAATGTTGCTGGGGCAAATACAACTCATACATGTCAGACTGGTGGCAATCTATGCGAGGCAAGTTTGACTCAAACTTTGTGAGTGAAACTAGTTAGACAAAACTGTTCAGAAGCTATCGATGGTTGTGATAGAACGAAGGCACAAGTCATTATGACCGAGGATTTGCGCGATTTTTTCAAACTGCTGATTAAGGCCTCACTCCCAAAACCCAAAAATTAAGGTCTGTTCAACATAGTTGCATATAAATAAAGATTAATAAAGATCAACGTAAATACTAACTCATGGAAATATCTGGTTGCTGCTGGCATTGATGAAACTTAGAAGAACGCTGAGCTGAAACGAGCGTGTAAATATATGTAAGATGTCAACCCTTTTCCCGAGAAAGGCACAAAGGAGACCCTCTCGTGTGATGAATGTGGCCGTATCTGCTTCTTGGGGATAGGCCTCATTAACCAAAAAATGTGGACACAGATATATCCCGATCTCTAATGTTTCCTCTTGGGTCAAAGTCAGTATGGATGCTTTCATTCCTTCTCGGAAATACCAGGTGAAACCTCAATCTTTTAAATTGTTCATACCAGAATGCTCTACCGCCATAGACCACGAGAACCACTATTTTCGGCTATAACATGGTATTAGCTCCTGTCACATCATGCCTATTCGTTGCTGCTCGTAAGAAATATAAACGAGTCTCTGAGAGAATGAGGCACCGTATTGCATCTAACAACTTTGGTTCGCGTGATTACTGGCGGCTCTAAAATAATGTATTAAATAAGTGTAAGGTCTCTATTCTTCCTCACTTCAATCAGTTTGAGGTGTTAACATCTTCTACTAATAAAGCTGAATGTTTCGCCTGTAAATTCTACTTAAATTCTATTCTTGACTCATCTGGAGTATCCTAGCCTAACTTCCTACTTAGAACTGAGTTTCTGTTAAGCGATATGCATATAACTTCTTCTATGTTTTCTCTAACCTGGATCCCCAGAAATCAAGCAGGCTTGATGATGTAATCGTCCTTAAGAATTGTGCTCTCGAACTGGCTACTATCCTCTCGAAGCTGTATAATAAATGCCCCGCTGATTCTTATTTTCCTGCCTGCTAGAAGTCCTCATCTGTTGTTCCAGACTTTAAGAACTCCGGTCAACCGTCCGACACTTCCAACTATCGGCCTATTATTTTTGGGAAACTCCTATAGACCATAATCAATGGTGAATTGGTTAAGCATCTCACAACGCTAGGCCTTTTTTTTTTCAGACAAGCAATATGGTTTTCGTTTCTTCTGGTCAACTGCTGATGTACTGATTATAATTGCGAAAAGAGTCTATCAAGCTGTAGATAACAATGGTGAAAATCCTTTTTGCTTTAGCTTTGCGCATCTCGAAAGCTTTCGGCACGGGGTTTCGTATACAAGTCTTCTTAATAAGCTGAAAAGTTACAGTGTGTCTGGCCAAATTTTTGAATTGATCCATTCTTTACTATCAAATCATAACATAAAAGTTATCCTAAACAGCCATTCTTCTAGGCCCTTTCGTATAGGTGTCTGCCAGGGCTCCATCCTAATTTGTTTTTGATTTTCATTAATGACCTTCCCGATGGTATCAGTTCTCAACTTGGTATCTATGCTGATGACACAACCATTTACTCTTGTGTCGATAGAAAATATGATCAATTCAATAAGGTCAAATTAGCAATCGATGTCCAAAACAGTTAACAGTAGTAAAGTATGGCTTGTTAATTTTAACCGCTCTCTCTTAATAATCTGGGAGACCCCTTTCTGTCTTCCATCAGCATGGAAAAGTGACAAATTGCACCTTCTCGGGATCACGTTCTCAGCTGACATGAAGTGGAAAGACTATATTGAAAGCAGGTCAGCTGCTAAAAAATTTACTTCATTGTCTTGATAGACAATTTTTCTTTCCGAAATCTATCTTCTTACATATCTATGTTTGTCATTCATCCATGCTTAGAATATTGATACCATCTATGGTCTGGCAGTCTTGTTATTTATCTAGGGATCCTTAATAATATAATAAATAGATAAGAATCTGAAATATTATTGGTCCTGATCAGGCGTCTTGGCTTCAGTCACTTTCCCACCTCCATAAGGTTGTCTCTATGTACCTTTTCTATGAATATTTCCATGGCAATTGTTCGGATGAACTCTTCATTATGGTGCCTAGACTTTTTTTTTTAATTTAAGCATAGTACTAGACTGGTGACTAGATCTCGTTGTGTTGGTTGTGTTGGTTAGATGTAATCGTAAATTCTATGCTGACAGTTTCTTTTCTCGCACTTCTCCCTTCCTTCCGGCTTCTTGCTTCCCAAAAAACTTAAAAATATTAAATGTACTGTCAATCGATATCTAATGTCCTCTTGATTACTCTTCTATTGTTATAGCTGCTTAGTAATGTTTCTGTTTCTAATTATTCCTTACCCAGTAACCCCTTGTGTCTTAGTGGCTTTACTTCTATTCATGGGATGAACTCGATTAAAAAATATATGATACCGAACAAGACTCGATATCATGAAACTAATCATCCATATAACCGGGTTGCTGTTAGAAGACTTGCCTGTACTCAAAGTGGAACGACTTGCAGGTCTTATGAGACATTTAAGGCGCCATCAACAACATGAAAATATTCTCTGAAATGTTCATTTGGGAATTATGAGACCTGGAGGCGGTCTTACTCGATCAAAACTCAACTACTGCCATGTGTATGCGAGGTCACTAACTATTATTAGGTTAATATGTTAACCAATACTACCTGAAGAAGCAAAAGAAATTAAAAGGAAATATTTTTAAGCAGATTGAATAATCATTTGGACGTCATTTTTTTAAATGCGCTCCTTTGTTTTATTAATGCATTTATTTTTTAAGTTTTCGTCATTGGGATTCATTCACTAATTTATACAATAAATAAACAACACTAATACGTCTTTTATTTGAACAGAGTAAAAATATTTTGAACATTTTAAAACATGTACAGAATATTTCGATATCGTATATACGTATGTATACACACCACCACCAACACCACAACCACTGCCACCACCGCAACTATATATAAATATTGTAGTGTATTTGTTTTGTGAAACAACCAAGTTAATCATATTTTATATTAAAAATCTATGAAATATCTAATAACGTGTGGAGGGCTTAACTTCTTTACTCTGATTGTATTTTGAGTAAAATGAATACTTCTTTCTCATGTGCGATTCTATTGTTGGCCGACAAGAACACATCAACTAATTTCACCACGTCTATAATAAGTCAGCAGTTATTTTAGATTCACGTCTTTTTTTGCTCGGACTGATTTCTTTGCTTTGCTGTTTTTAAAAGTTTCGGCAGTGTCGTCTCCGGCTTTTTTCCTGTTTATCTGATGTGACTTGAAAAACTGTCGAAATCAATCCATCTCATAAAATTCAGACAACGAATGCGTTGAACTTTAACTTACCAAATTAGAAGCCAAAACATTAACGAGTTTTAAGAAAAGATAAAATAATTAAAAATAAACCAAACTGTTCTCTGTGTCTGCATCTGCGTGTGGTAGGGGAGAGGGATTTCACACAGGTACAAAACAGTATGAAAACCAATCAAGAGGGAACTATTCTTAAATTGTTTATTGTATGTCGGAATTATTGTTTCATTACTGGTTTTACCCTATCTTATTACTGCTGCATTTCTCACCACTAATCTCTGGAATGATAGCTCTTCGACTATTAGAGCAAACAAAAATGGAGAGGTAAATTCTAACGAAACTCGCTTCCCATATATTGGAAGTCTGTCTTTCATAGATGTCGACTTATTTACTTCGGTCATAGAAGCCATGATAATTAAAGCACAAAACAATAGTCGTTCTGTAACCTCCAGTTCTCTACTCCGTGTTTGCCTTATATAGAAATAGCTAAATTATTTTTAACAATTTATTTTATTTTACTTTTTTAGAGTTTTCCCTGGTAATTATTTTATTACTGGTAATAAAATATTGAAAAATGGTTTACGTATCTCTGTAACGTGATACATTAACTTCTTTCAGTGTATTCCTTTTGGCTGTCTGTTTTAATAGTAGCATGATATAACTCTATGTTTATCTCGACTGATTGAGCCATGATTGCGAGTTGATGTTAAATTACAAATAACCATTTGCTCTTGGAAAAACAAATGGTTATTTGTAATTTAACACTAACTCGCAATCATGGCTCAATTTTAAGGCTTAATTTTACGAAATTTTAATCATGAGCTAAAGGTTTGCATGTTTATTTCTAAATTATTTTTTCATGAAAGCTTAATGTAATTGATTAGATAAAATTTACCTCATGTACGATTTAATTGCCTTCTGTAGTTTCTTTTCGTATGCTGGAAGGTTGACACTTTTTGGATTCACTAACGTCATTTGCATATGTTTGTCTCGCATCACGTGAGCAAGTGGAAAGACCTGAAACAAGTGTTCGTTTTGATGAATGTCTAAAAAGATGAAGGAATGGAGACTAAAGTTTATTTATTGGTGGACAAATGTGTAGAATTTAAATTCTCTGTCCAAGAGTTTTATTTATACGTGAGGAAGGTTTCAAGTACAGATACTATTACAAGTTTTCTCTTTTACTTTTCTTTATATACGAGAACAATGTTACTTCAATAAATAATGTATGTATTGTATTACAGGTTCTTATTTCTTGTTCCAGTCAGTTGATAGCGACCTAAATACAATTTAGACATTTCTTTTTTTTGTCGCTTATAAACTAGTGGCTAACTGCATTTAAAGGGACAATGATTATACCTTTTCATTTTATATATATATATATATATATATATATATATATATATATATATATATATATATATATATATATATGACAATTGGAAAAAATCATACATTTTGCCGACGCGTTTCGTCTTCCGACTTTTTTTCAAGGCAAAAAATGAAATCGAAATGTTTTTGCTGTTATAGTTACATTAAAATTCAAAATTAAAAAGATAGACGCTTGGGTCTAAGCCTTTTTTCTGGTTAATGTAAATTACCTTTATAGTAAGGGATTATTATTTATTTTATTTTTTTCTATTCGACAATATAGTTAAATTCCCAGATGAATTCTGTGGACAAGACAGATTGGTATCAAATGACAATTGGAAAAAATCATACATTTTGCCGACGCGTTTCGTCTTCCGACTTTTTCAAGGTAAAAATGAAATCGAAATGTTTTTTTAATTAAATTTAATTAAATCCCGCGTTCTCACGGTTGTTGGTATCAATTTCAAGTTACTCGAAGTGACGTCATTTAAAAGGTAAAATTGAAATTTTATGTGCATTTTTAGAACACACTTTCTATGGAGAAGGATATCTTATTTAACGTTGGCTGCTCCACTTTTATTACAACAGCTTTCAGAAATTTGAGTCTTCCTTTTTACTGTCTCTTATATAAAATTTTGATTTCATCTACTAAAATTTATCTTATTTTAATATTATGTTGCTTATTTGTTATATATTGATCTGTATTATTTTTACATACGGTAGATTTTTGAGGTGATGAATTATTTCTAAACATTAGATTGGACGTTTCGAATTTTTTACAATGGGTCATAAATATATGGCATTTGTTAGGATCTATAACTTTTATATATCGACGGATTATAATTTTAATAGCCCTTTCGTCTTGTTTATAATTAGGATGCATCTGGTTACAATATAATGGCTTTTTTATTTTTGTTTATATCAATTTGGTTACTTATATAATGTTTCTAGTTTCTTTAAAGCTAATCTTATCTTCATCGACAACATGGTTGGGGAAATTACATGTTTCATTAAAGACAACAGACAGTGTACTAAGATTAAGCTGTCCAAATGTTTTGAAATTACAATTATACATTTAGCCATTATCAAGGTTGATTTTATTTTACATTTTAACTGGATGTATGGGTTGTGTGTATGTATCTTGAGTTTATAGGGATGTTTTATTTTCCGAACATAGTCAGAACATGATGGTCGTGTTCGTAGTTAATATTATTCAGTGTTACATTTTTTTTCTTTTTTTATTATTAAGGCTTCCATTATTTTTAATCTGAGGTTATGTTTGTATTTTCTACTAGTATGTTTCAGATAGAGTCTTGTAAGTTTGCGTGTGTGTTTAAATCAGTTCTAATGGAGCTGTGGTTGGATAGCTGTATTTTTTAATGATATTTCTAACATTTATAAACAAGATGAATCTTCACGTAGAAATATCATAAACAAATACACTGCCCCAGGTGACCCGAAAAAAATAATTTTATTAATCTATTGCAGAAAATTTAAGCTAGCCTCATCTACAAAAATAACAACACGCCTGTTAAATCAAAACTATAAAGAACGAACATCATTTACGAGTTTAAATGCTCCTTAAGGAACTGTGTTCCTGATCAAACCGAATTCATAAATAATTTCATCGGTCCCACTACTCTGTGACTATCCAGATGACTTACGTTACACCTATCTGACCACAGCTCCATACATCCACTTAAAAATAAGATGACCCTTGATGAGGCTAAAAGTGTTCTGAATTACACAACATTTGAACAGTTAATATATATATATGTGTGTGTCACACATTATGAAATGGACAGGATTCGAACCTGTATTCTATACGGAAGCGTCATTTAGCTTGACGGGCCTTTACCGATTTGACCACGAAGGAGCGTTCGGTTAGCAAGGTCGAATTTACTGTATTTAAACTTCAATCTTCCATGAATCTCTCACGTGCATTCATATCTGCTCATGGCGTATCAAATTCTGTCGGAGGACAAATATTTTCTGTGAAAATTTCTCGGACATACAGACCTACATATAATTCTACTATAATTCTACATTTGTAACTTGAAGTGTTATTACTTCTTTCTTTATATTTATCTTTATTTTCAATACGAAATAAAGTTATTTTAAGAACAATCCCTACATAAAATATGGACCGCTCCACCATTACGATAATCCGATATATGTCACCGTCAGTCTCTATTCAGCACTTGAAGATTGCGTTCTGCATGAAACTCAGAATTGTGCTACTGGCGAGGAAAATGTATATTTATGAATATATATATATATATATATATATATATATATATATATATATATATATATATATATATATATATAGACACACACAGTTACTATAAATTTTATCTGTAGTGAGTACACGTGTCAACGATTATAGTAATAATAAATAATATCGGATTAAAAAATCCATGAACTGTTTAATACATACACATATATATATATATATATATATATATATATGTGTGTGTGTGTGTGTTTGTGTGCATATATTCACTTAGCTATCAGCTTTCTATCACTATTGTCTGCAATAGGAAAAACTAGCCAGTTTAATGTACGATTATCTTTTTATTTTATTTTATCGCTCCCACGTTTTTATTTTATCGTTCCATATACTATCGACTTATTGACAACGTTTCAACAACAATGTAATGTTTAATTTGGGATATAATACGATCATCCTTTGGTTAAAACAGGATCCACTACAATCGTCCGGTCATTTTTTTACGTTGGTGGCCCGCTATCTCGGCAATGTTACCGCTAGTCGCCCACAGTTGGTTCGCCGGTGGCTGCCACCAGAATATGGCTTGCGTTGCCATCTGCGGCACGCCAGCGGGCCACTAGTGTCTTACATGTAGGGGAGTAAAGGTCTGTAACATACTTTTGATACACACTCATAGTAAGTAAATTAAATGATCACAAGTATTTTTAAATGGTTACTTACATCATCGAACACCTTAGAAAGTACGTATTTATTGATACTAGGCACATACGTTGCTCTGTGAGGAATATGTGTCTGCGACAAAGCGTCCATTATTGTCAACCGCTTCGCTTTCAACTTGTTTCGTTTCAGCCAGCGTTTGGCGGCTGATAATGTTTGATTATCTCTGAAATGACATAAAAATACATGTAGAATAGTAAAGAAAAATAACTCAGTGCACATTTGACTCATATTTGAGTCTTTGAGATTGATTCAAAGTTCGTACAGCTCAATATTTACCTATATAGAGTTTTTTTTTTACAAGTGAAAATAGTTTGTAGTCATGCAAGCTACTAAAGTGAAACACTGAGTCTTCTAGGAATTCAGATTTGTGGCAAAATAGTTTTTGTTCGACAATTACTAATTCAGCGTTTGCCTGGTTGAATTATTATTCGACAGATTTTGAATTATCAATCAAAACAACCGATTGTCTCTCACTTATAATAAAAAGAACAGATAATATGGATTTTAAAGGAAACCTCCATTCATATGCTTGAAACAGGTTATTTTGATGGGTGAAGAAAAGTACTTACATGCAAATCGATTTAATATATTAGTCAACACGTCTTTATAGGATATTCAGCTAATTGCTTATCTTTACTTTATCATTGCCAAGTAACACAAATGTTTTCTATTTTTTAGTGTGTGTGTGTGTGTGCGTGTGTGTGTGTCTACAACAATATTCTTTAAATAACATTTCTATATTTTATTAGTATTTATGCTTGTCATCTACCAACGTCAGAAAACTGCCGAAACAAACATTTCAGAGAATACACTAAGAACGAATTTCGAAGTTGTTTCTTTGAATGGACATCAGTTATGATCATTGTTTTTGTTGATTATGTAGATGAGTTTTTATAATTTCGCAAATTTTATTCTCTACATATTATGGATTATCTAAAGGAAAAGGTAAAGGACGTAATCGAATTAATCTCCTTGGTAAAATACACAAATGTTCATCCTCACATATATAAAATTTTGGTACGTCTCTAAAAAGAGGACGATTTCATTAAGTAACTTCTCCTAATCTAATCGTGATTTACTCAGTCTTCAAGAAGGAAACATTTCTGAACAGGTCGATCTTTTACTGTGTTATTTTATGTACCAATATTAATATCACATTATAACTGTTCAAACCAAACTTAATCGAGGTGAAAAATACAGGTGATACATTGATTAATAAAATGATTGTTGGGATTAAGTTATAAAGTTGGGATTATATACTTTGCACAAAAAGGACTATATATATTTTAAACTTGCGGGTCAAATATTATTTTTTTGATTGGAAAAACTCAAACATTTACCAAAAGAATCATAAGAAAATACTTTTCTTACTTATATTCCTCAACATAGCCGTCATTTTCAGTCAAGATAACTTTTCTTTCGTCCATAGCTTCAAATATAAAAAAAATAAAATCAACAGAGGAAAAGTAAAACACCATATTCTTACTGGTAATTCTGAGATAAAGTGTTGTTATTACTAATGTTTGATAATTTGTCTTCCACATTCCTATTATTTGTTGCGATCTATCTATCTATCTATCTATCTATCTATCTATCTATCTATCTCTGTTCTCGTTATTCTACGTGTGTTAAGAAAAAAAAATCTTCGAAGTGAGTATGTAGTGATAGAAAAAGATCAGTGTTTAAAAAAAAAATAGAAAGTAAAATAGAAGAAAATAAAAGTTGGCAAACCATTTTGGTTTGCCATAAAGAAATAAGAATAAAAAGGTAAGGAAAAAATAAAGAAATAAATAAAAGAGGCGAAAAGGTTATCATTTCTAAATGTAGGTAAAGAAAAAAGGATTGTCAAATAAGTAATTTCTGGAACCAATCAAAATCAAGAGCAATTCGAAAATGAATTCTATTGTCTTAAAAAAAAGGTGTTAAGACAGATAGTAATGGCAGGCAAACGGACCGAACCAGCCGCCGAAAAGAAATTTATCCGCTGTCCCTTACCCTCAACCTTTGGACACCTAAAAATCCCACAGGCAGTGAAAAGAATTAAGTAAACAAGTAAATCCCTACTTTGGTGACTTCCACATCTAAACACCAATTGACTTGACGCATATATAAACACATAAGACATACAATGCCAGACAGTGAAGCAGAACCGGTATCTTCCGTCCAAACCAACTCCATACATCAAACCACTTGCATTCATCGAATCCAACGCGTTAGTGTGATTTTCCATAATAGAAGCCCAATTTAACTTCATATCCACATCCTGGATTTTCTAACTTCGGATATTGTCGCGAAACAGCAACCAGCAGTATTACAACAAAACAGTTACGAAGACATCATTACCTCGTATAAAAAATCCAAGTAAGAAAGTCTGGACAAATTGATGCTAATATCAGTCATCACAGGGCGTCCATCCATATATTTAAATATACTAATGTCTCTAGCAAGTCGGATTGGTGTTGGTGATGACATAGTTTGACATAAATTGATCCAGGCACTACCAACATCGCCCAAAGCAGTTTTAGCAGCTCAAATCGATCTTGACACAAATCGATTGGGCAGACGATCTTCTTTATTTTAAACAGTAAGAGGGTTCGCAACGCCTAAAGTATTCCAAATACAAGAAGTAAAAAGACCAAAGTTCCGTCTCCGAAGAATAATGACTGCCCGCCCAGTGTACTACCATTCAATAAGGACCAAAAACCAAAGATCTGTAGGGCACACTGTTTTAGAGTAATTTCGCAGTGGAGGCTTGTAGTTGCACTAAATCGGTCCTAAAATAGTTCGACGTACAAAACATTAGGAACTTGATATAATAGGTATTACGCAGAGTAATCTTGTTGTGGTCGCTGACAACTTTCGTATTCGACTAACTGTCGTCCGACATCGACGCTATTTAGTAACTGCCGCACGCAGTCACATGTGGCACAAGGCCGAATTTAATGTGGGGTTCCCGAGCCCGTAGGCTCGCCAAAAATCCCCGTAGACCCCGCATAAAGGGGATCGGGTCTGTCTACCTCCCCGGACGAATCTCTGCCCTTCGGCATAGCCTCGTCCGGGTTCCTCTCTGCCCGAAGGCATAGAGTTCGACTGTCGTCCGACATCGACTAGTATTTAGTCACCCCCAAACGAGGGCATCATGTGGCACAAGGCCGGTTTAACGTGGGATCTCTGAGCCCGTGGGCTCGGCCAAAAATATACCCTTTGAACCCGTATAAACGGGTTCAGGGTCGGTTTACCTCCCCGAACGAGACTCCGCCCTTCGGTGTAACCTCGTTCGAGTTCAACCGTTCAGCCGGTCGTCCAACATCGACTGACCCTCGTTTCTCTTACTACTCCTACTTATATTAGGTGGGAGAGTCTATTAACTATAGAATAGGTGTGTTTCACCATAACACGCCCATATTTTTGCGGAGCGCGAGAAGTTCTGCAAGTCATGTTGCAAGTGGCCGGATAAAAAGAAAGTTAAATTACAGCCTGGTTCCTGACCTCCTTCACCGGCACCTAGTATGATGTCAGAAAGATAAATTGGTGGGACATGCTAGCCTCCACCCATCTGTCGCTTCTTGAAGTCGCTACCTGACTAGGGGCTAGAAAAATTAATTTTGTTGTGGACATAGGAACTGCCATATCGATCATACCAAAGAGATATTTACGCGGTGTAGTGTTCTATACTACGAGTATATCCGTTGTATCAGCTAACGGTCAAAAGATCAAATGCGCAGCACAAGCCACATTAAATTTGGTATTACACAACCTTAGACGCGAATTCACTTGGACTTTTTTAATTGCAGATACCACAAAACTTCTCTTGGGTTACGATTTCTTGAATCACTTCGGTTCGACGATCGACTGCTCTAATAATAGACTAGTCGATACAACAACAAATAGACAGTCTAACGCAACACAAACACCATAAATTAAATAAATATCACAGTAAACCAGGATAATTCTACCGACACAGTGGTACCCAAAATTATGGAAAAATATTCAGCACTGTAATCCTAATGCAAAAGAAAATAAATGTTAATCATAGAATTGAGACTGGTAGCAATCCTCCTGCATTTTCTAAACCAAGACAGCTATCAGCCAAGAAATTCAGAATAGCGAAGGAAGATTTTAGGAAACTGCAAAATTCAGAAATAATATCCCCTTGGAATGGAATTCAGCTTTACATATGGTACTGAAGTCAGATGGCACATACAGGCAACTGAATACAAATACAAAAGCAGATCAATACCAAGCGCAAAACATATATTCACTGGCATCTAAGCTACATGGTAAGAAAATCTATTCAAAAATTAATTTATCATCAGCTTACCATCAAGTGCCACTTCATCCGGACGATGTATGTAAAACAGCTATTGCAACAGCTATTTGTTCGAATACAGCTATATGCCTTTCGAACTACGGAACACATCAAGTACATTTTAGTGGATGATGGACAACATCTTCCGTGACTTCAGTTGTACGTTTACATATATTGATGATATCCTCATCTTTTCAGACAATCAAGGACCTCGACTAAATCTTACAAAAACTTAGTACAATATGAAAATTTCTTTTTCGAAATATTTGTTCGATACTCATGACCTTGAATTTTTTTGGATTCAGTGTTTCTGGTGATGGAAATTTGCTGAATCAAATAAATTTATTCCCCCAAACAACTCCAAGTCATTACATCAGTTCCTTGGGATGACCAATTTCTATAGGAAATCGGTTCCATGTTTTAGCAATAAAGTATTCTCTTTCACAGAATGTATACAGGCAAACCTAAAATCAAAAAACTTGACACAAAAAAAAGCGGAGATTGAGTCTTTCAAAAATATAAAGGAGACTTTGTCAAGCATAACTGTTCTCCCCTACACCAACTCAAAAGCTAATGACTTTCAGCTTGTTACAGAAGAGTTCTAATTATGCTGTCAGTGCAGAATTACACCAAATGGGAGACGACCAACCAATTCCTATTGGTTTCTTTTTAAACAAAATTGTCACTGATGCAACAAATGTATTTTCCTTCGACATGGAATTACTAGCTGCTCACTTAGCAGCCTTGCATTTTAAATACCAAATAGAAGACAGGAATATATTATTAACTGGCCACAAACCTGTTTTTAATGCTTTTACAAGCCAAACGCCATTGAAATCTGACAAACAACAACGTCTCTTTTATAAGAGAATATGTTACTGATATTTCACATATAATAGGTGATCAGAATATAGTAGGTGACTGTTTTTTCTCGACCATCTAATACAGTTACAATCGATGTATCTGATTTGTAGGAGATGGTGAAACACCAAACTACTGATGAAGAAAGCTAAAAGCCATATCCTGTCAATGAACATCAAAATATCCTGCTACAGTATGTCATTACCCTTCCCACGACCTTTTGTAACACTAGAGTCCAGGATTCAGTATTTGGCAGTTTGTCACACCTTGGAATATCAGCTTTGATAAAAATGATCTGATCAAGATTGATCTGATCAAGATTGGCCCAAAATGAGCAAATCAATAAAAACATGGTGTAAACATTGTCAGAAAGCAAAAATAACTCAGCATACAAAGAGTAAAGTTTAGTCATTTCTAATCAGTGCATGTCGATATCGTGGGTCCCTTAGGACCAATTAAAAACCTTACTGACCCCTATTTCTCAACTTATCTATATTTTTTAACATGTATCGATAGAAATACTTGATGGATAGAAGCATATCCTTTGACAGAAAATTCAGTAAAATCAATTTCAGTAGCTTTCATCAACACGTGAATATACAAATTCGGAGTCCCCCTCCATGTCGTTATAGACAGGAGTAGTTAGTTTGAATTAGAATTATTTTCAGAACTCTCGAAGATAATAGGTTTCCACAGACTGAGAACGACATCCTACCACCCACAAACAAATGGATTGATTGAACGTATCCAACCGACTTTAAAAATGGCAATTATTGCCAGGAAGGAATTGTGGTTATTGGCTCTACCTATTGCTCTACTCGGAATCAAAATAACTCACAATGAATCGGATTATTCGCCATTTACTACTGTAACAGGAGTTAATGCACAAGTCCCTCGGAAATTAACAGATTCATACAAAGACCATGAGGACATTCAAATAACAAATTCACAAGTAAAAAATTTGGCTTAAGAGATGCAGAAATTTGAATCTGACAAAATATTTAAGAGGTATCTGCATTCTTTATCGAATTCGCATGTCCCCAAAGATTTGAAAATTTGTATGTGTGTTTACGGACCGACAGGGTGCGAAAACTTCTGGGAGTTCCGTATACGAGTCAATTTAAGGTATTAAATCGCAGTCAAAGATATTTTACTATAAAAATTTCAGATGATGTGAATAATACTGTGACAGCTGATAGGTTGAAACCTGCGTTAATTCCAGAAATTAAGATTGGCAAAAGTTCCGTAGAATGACAACCAGAACGAAATAACACTAGAGAATTCAAATGGAACTAATGAAAATTAACAACAAAATAAGACGGCCAAAACTAAATCTAAAAGAAAAATTAAATGGAAAAGGAAAACACATGTTTTTACTATTAAATAAAGTTATGGATTCAAATTTAAATAACAAATAACTGTTACGAACTCTGTTCACTAGGGCGGAAAGTATGTAGTGAGAGGAAAAGATTACTATTTCAAAACAAACAGAAAGCTAAAGAAATGAAAACAAAAAGATAAGAAAAAAATAAATAAAAGAGGCGAAAAGGTTATCATTCCTAAATGTAGGTAAAGAAAAAAAGGATTGTCAAATGAGTCATTTCTGGAATCAATCATAATCAAGAACAATTTGGGAATGAATTGTCTTAAGAAAAAAGTGTTATGACAGGTAGTGACGGGCAGGTAAAAACGGACCAGACCTGTCGAGGAAAAGAATTTCATCCGCTGTTCCTTACCCTCAAGCGTCAGACACCTAAAAATCCCACAGAGAGTCAAAGAATTACTACTAACAAGATATACTTACGTATCTACATACACATTAACAAAGACTCTCCTCTCTTTCGATCTCTCTCTCTCTCTCTCTCTCTCTCTCTCTCTCTATATATATATATATATATATATATATATATATATATATATATATATAGGATATATATAATATACTTTAAGGACTGAAAGCTTTAAACTCTAGAACTTTCTGATAGGAACTTATATACTCTTTGAATATTATTGTATATTTTATTTTGAGAGATATAAATTTTTATCATTACATGCAATATATATTTATGCTCATTAAAGTGAATGCATTTTTAAAAGGACATAAATTGGTGTATATTTGGATTACGAACCTGTAAACAAGTAAACCCCTACTTTGGTGATTTCCACATCTAAAAACGAATTCCAGTGACCCCCAACAGTTTGAAATCGTAACTCATAGACATAGAAATCGCTAATCCAGTAATGGAGCTTCAAATATATATATATATATATATATATATATATATATATATATATATATATATATATATATTGCATGAATCATTCATACAAAAAACAGATATAGAAGTTAATGATATAAATGGCGAGAATACATCTTCGCAAACAAATTTAATGAAGTACATTAACCCTGAACCTGTAGATGAATGTTATGATCCCTGTTTATAAATTCCAGTTGCATAAGGTCTTTTTTTAGTTTTTTTAGAAGCTTTCATCTGTTCATACAGACATCATCAGGTATGGAAATAGATTTGGTTTTGTTTTTTACTTCTCGGTAATAACAGGACAACGAAAATATAAATGTAATCCGAAATATGATTTTAGAAACTGATCCGACGTGCAATAAAAACATATTTTGTTTTTCGGTGTTCCTTTCTTTTCATTTTTTTTTAATAGCGAAACTTATGAGTGGAGCCTCCTTGATTTTTGTTGGTTTTCAGTTCCAACTTACTATACTTTGGTCCGGCAAACTTTCGGTGTTTTTCAGCCGGGTTCAGTCTTTTCTTCTTCTTCCTCTTTTTATTTGAGGGCTTTCTACTTGTTGGTTGAGAGACAAGTATATAGAGAGAAGTTTAGAGAGAGAATAAAAGAGATAAGTATTTTAAAGGAAAGCGCAAATGCTTTATTTTAATTTTGATTCATTCTTTTTTTTTTTTTTTTTTGTTTATACGTATTATTCTTATATTTATATTTATTTTATTTTTTATCGGGAATCACTAAAAAAAATAAAGAAAACAAACTGATAAAAACTGGAAAAAAATTTGCTCAGTGTTTTCGATATAGTCTGATTGGATAATAAAACATATAGTAGTCAGCATAAAATCTAATGCCTGAAATGCTTGAAAATCTGCTAAATTTGGTAAGTCTAGCAAATTCTTATTTACATAATAATCTTTAACTGCTTGTTTTCTTAGATAGATGGGTATTTTCACTTCTGTTATCACTTTCCCCATTCGTCTCCCTCCTTTATCTATCTATAAGCAGAACGATGTGTTTATAATCGCGGATTATAAAATTTTTAAAAATCTATGTCTATGATAAATTTCATAGATTACACAACTTGATATATTAGAAAAGCTTGAGTTACACGGGACAGATACTCAAGTAATCTGCAACATCTGCTTGAAACAAACAGCCTGCATGCGGATAGAAAGTAAGTTCAGTGAATATACAAAAATAGAAAGAGGAGTAAGATAAGCATGACATGGGTAATACTTCACGTTTTCAGGCATTTCAGATCACTTGATTGTAGAGATAATTTGGACTGAACGAGGGTATAGACGTCATATCAATTTCCAGATAAAATAAAAAAAGAAATAAACATTTGGAAAAATCGTTCTTTGTATAGATAGTTTTGTTCTTTTTTATATCTGTCGTTTGCATAGTTGGATTTCGCATTTGGTGATTGCGTGTTTACATTATTTATATTTTTGCTTATCCAACTGTAAAACAAATCAACTGTAGCGGACCGTGGTTTTTTTTTGTTGTTTTTTTTTTTTTTTTTTTTTTACGCGTTGTGATATGAACACGCGTGGAACTCCTGGAAGTCCACTTCAAATATTTGGCGGACTAGCAATTGAGTTCAACCAAAAGAATTTTTTTTTTTAAGTGTTTCACCCCAAGCAAGGCGGGAAGCCACTAGCACGCAAGGGGTTACAGAAAGTTGGAGCTAGAGCACATAGGAGTGATAGAGGAAATGATGAAGAGAAAGATAGGGGATAGATCTGGAGACGTCGATTGACATTACATTTGAATAGTTGGAGATTATAGCTATCAGGGAAACAGGAAGATGGGAGGGAGTTCCTCAGGCGAGAGTTGCGAAACATGAAGCTATTGGAGTAGAAGAGACGGCTACATTTAACAGTTTCGACAATGGAAGGATGTGAGCGAGATGCCAGCCTAGTAGAACTCTTAAATTCGTGAAGTTTGGGAACCAGCGAAAGCAGCTCCTCGGAGCAGTTACCATGAAAGTATTTGTAAAAAAACAACAAGAAACCGATATACATGTAGAAACATGTATATACATTAAACAACAAAAACAAAATCATTAACGTGTTTGTGTGCATGAACGTAAAGAGTTCGTACGTGTGTGTGTGTGTGTGTGTGTGTGTGTGTAATGGTCATGGCACCTTTACAAGGAAAAGCACAGCGCTCCCCACGAAGGGGAAAACGCAATCTTCTGCGAGAGCTTTACATGGTCGCAGTGTCCACTGAAAAGTGGAAGAAAGAGAGAGAGAGAACGTAGTATTCTCGAGTATTTATACCGACCTCTAGGAACAATTTGGAGAATTAGGAAATTAAGGATTTAACTCCAACACAACTATGTTTATACTATCCCAACACACTGAGTAATAAATGTGTAAACTAATCAAACTATTTTATCTGTTCTTTTTCACGAGATTTACGTTTTATCAATACCTGAATGCATTTGAAGACAAAACTTACTTTCTTCATTTTCAGTTATTTCACAATTTTCTTGTTCTTCGAGTAGTTCCTCATTGCTACTCTGTGTTTCACTTGAAGACGACATCTCCCGCTTTAGTGCAATTCTATGGCGTAACATGCTCGTTTTCGTTGAACCTTCAAAAGTGAATAAGAAGTCAACTTGTATTTTCTCATATTAAGAAGTTCATGGGAAGAAAAGAAGAAAAAGAATCAGTCATTTACGTTCAGAATAAGATTCTCTTTTTTAATCCAACACTGAAATAAATACTACAAAGTAACTAATGTATGAATACGTATATACCGTTATTTATATCTCAACTGAGATGTGTTAAAAAGTAGCAATCAAATGAAATTTAATTAAATATAATCATTATTATTATTAGTGTAATTATTATGCTCTATCGAAACCCATACAACCAACAAGTGTTTTCATTGAAAGACAGAAACATGAAGTTAACAAATTTAGAGATAAGATGTTAAGAAGGACAGTGCAATTCTATAATTGTTTTGAAAACTAAAAAAAAATTGCCACCAACAATCACTCTGGCAGATACTGGTGACGTTCTTGGTACAACAGATGAAATAAAATTTGCGTTTCAAAATATTAAACGCGAAAATGCATTAGGTGAAGATAGTATAGTTACTGACCTTTTGATAGATGCAGGAGCAGAACTGCATAAAGGATTAGCACAGTCGTCTGCAACAGATGGATGTGTTTGGAAACGAGTAGCCGGTCATTGTATGGGGGAATACGATATCTAAATGACAAAGTAGAAAAATCGTATGTAACGCGTTTCGTCTTTCAAAATGACTTCTTCAGACTTTTTATTAATGGAATTATATGCAGTGGGAGGGAACAAAAATATAAACAGCTGCGTCGTTTTGAAGGACGAAATGCATTACGTAGGATTTTTTCCATTTTGTCACACACACATATGTACATATAAAAATATAGGAATAGATAGATGTGTGTGTATTTATATACTTTTCCATCCTATTTATCTATCGCCATCCATATATATCTATATACAAGGTCGTCTATGTGTCAGTGCATATGTCAGTGTATGCATATGAGTGTATATGTGTATATAAATTTCTATCTTTGTCACTTACCGGCATGGAGATGTCGATTTGACATTTTCGTTGTTGGCCCATGTTGTTTCCTTTTGCAACAAGATGGAACAAAAGGCCATTGAGGAAGAAAACGTTGCCTTTGACGCACATAAAAAGCTTGACGAGAATTTTTCCCTTTTATGGAGAAGCTGCTCTGACTGCGATCGATATCCTTCGGTGACGGAGAACAGGATTCACCAGACATCTCGGATTTGCTAAAATAAGTATAATAATTATACGATTTTTAAACACACACACATACACGCACGTACAAGCACGCACAAGCACGCACACGCATACATACAGTTATCGACGTGGAAAGTAGAATCGGCGAGCAGCGTTCAAATTCCGGTCGAATCTACTGTTTACTTCGCACTAATCTTCTGGAGAAATGCATGAATCCATTTCTTTTTCCCCCAGCTAAATAGTAGGATGCATTGGGTTCTATTGGGTGCCTGTCAGTCTAAGAGAAGACGTCACAGTAATTCATAAATAATAAAGAAAATGAGAGCCATGATCGTCCATGCCCTAAAACTATATGTCCTTTAAAAACATATTGGATCTTGCGATTTTAATGTCATATATGAATGGAAATATAAATATAATCGAGTTAATTGAAATAATTAGCATATATTCCACAAAATATCAGCATCTGTTCAATCTTACCCCAGTCGACATGAAAAGAATGTATTTTCAGATGTGAAGGAATAGATTTAATGTTGGAAGATGGAAATTTAACATTTTGACATTTATGTTAAAAATTTCATATTTTAGTTGTGTTTATTCATACATTTATCGCAGCAAGAATGTCGGTTTCTTTTTCTATTAAAGCTTAAATTATTACCTTCATTTCAGCGTTCTTCTCAGTTTCTATGCGCACCTGCATTGATGTTGCGAAATGAACTGCAGTTGTGGCTACGAGATTTCATCAAAGGACTCTCTGCTAAACTTGGCAATCTTTCAATTTGTCATTTTTTGTCGATCTCAGTAACTATTTTTAATATCCTAAATGAAAGGCAGACTTTTCTACTTCATTATATTGTTTACTTTTCTTTCCCAATCTTTTCATATCTACCCAGATTTCTCATCAGGTCATCAGTCCCAGTTTCAGAGATGATCACAAATATTTGTTTCTGCTTTGTTCACAAGAATATCTTTTTACTGTGTGTGTGTGTGTGTGTGTGTGTGTGTGTGCACGCACGTGTATGCGTATGTGTATGCTTAAACATGAATACTTTTTTCCTAATCGGTTGAGTTGACAAACGATTTACTATATTTAAAAGCGCAATACTAAATATAAAAGAAATATTTTCATAAGTGAACATCAATAAAGAATATCCGCGCAAAGTACCAGCTACGGGATTTAAGCCTTTTGATCTCTCCTTTCCAAAGTGACATAAGACATTGTTCTCGTAAGCGTGACACGGTCGCTAAGTTTCTATATCCACGTCTCAGTTCTTCTTCCAGCAATCTAAGGTCTTCACACTGTGAAAGAAATCCAAACAATTGACTGTACATGGAATTTTTACAAAAGATAATTTATGAATAAAATAACAACATTCGGTGAAAAGTTAGGGGTGTGTGTGTGTGTGTGTGAGAGAGAGAGAGAGAGAGAGAGAGAAGAATGAGAGAGAGAGAGAGAAGGGAGTAAATTAGCAAAACCAGACATTTTTGGGGCAACAAAAATAAATCACTTTATCTAGTCACTCGGTTTTTCTTTCCTACTGTTCTTTTTTTTCGTTTTCGTTTCCTTTTTATATTTCATTTCTTCTTGCGTCTACGTCAAAAAAGCATCAGAATAAACTTGAAATTGTAATTTGTATAATACTTCCCACATAATGATGAGACATTAGCAACATTGCAACTAATGTCACATGTGAGATGTATTTCTGAGAGGTATATGTGGGAAGTATTACTGCCGTACTCTGTATTAAAACATGGTCATCGTTCTAACTAAAAATGACTTTAATTGTCAAATGAAGCTCTTCTCTTTTACCAAAATTCTTTTCTTAATCATATAAAATAAAACTATGTCGCAATTATTGATATTTGTTAAAACGAACGTCAATAATTCTGCATTTTTCTAAATACCATCATCAACTCATAATTTTACAACTTACAATAAAACATTGCTTCATCTACGCCTGTTGTTGTCCTTTAACTTGTCTTATTTGATTATATCCATGAAAGATTCAACCTCTAGCCCGGCCATTATGTTCATCCAATGTAGTTCTATATTCATCGCTAAAAACTATTTGGCAGAAATCATTTTTCATGTACTTCTTTGTTTCACTTACACATTTGTCTTTGTGCTTTTTACTTAAAGGTGATTACTTTGACAATTTTTTGTTATTATTCTCTATCTTTTCTCTTTATATTGGCAACAGATATTTTCTTGCTGGTTCACTTTTCATGTTTATTAATCTTTAATTTTACTAAAATTTCTTTTATGTGACATTCTTAAAGTTTTCTTGTTCTTGCCACTGTTTTCAATTCGGGTTTTTTCCCTTTTTTCAACCTTTTCGCAATTTTCAACATTGTTCTTATCACTCACCAACTTCACAATTACTCTCGTTCTTTTTAAGTTTTATCTAAATAAAATCTCACACCATCATATCGATTATAGCAAATATTTATAAGAAAAGCATATATTATAATCTGTACTTCATATGATATATTTATCAAATAAACAAATGTATATTATTAAAATGTAACAAAGTTTAGGTTTATTGTGAAAATAATAAAATCTGATATCGAATACTTATCAATGGAGATAACATTTCCTTCCGTTGGGTTGCGAATATTGCAACCGTTACAAATATTGTTTCAGATGTTCGTCGGAACTCCTCCTTGATTCAGTCGTATGTCTATTCGGAGAAATGAAACTTGCATAACACCATACAAAGAAAGAAAATGACTTACCTTCCATGACTCAGGAGGTTCAACATCATAATCGTTATCCGTGTAATAATGATAACGTCCGCGTGTTGAATTAGCCAATTGATATAAAAAACAATTAGCCTCTTCATCATTGCAGTTGAATGCAATTGTGTGGATGGGGACAGAAGGATTCATTTGAACCTGAGCCAAAATCGCTTTGCACGGCTGAGAAAGTCACAAAAAACAGATTATAATTAGACTGATTGGTTTTACACGTATCAAATACTATTTAGGCAAGTTGGATGGAAACTAACAATTTATGCATTGCTTTATAAGCCAGATGATCAGTTTATGAAATTATCCTCTAAGATTAATTCCTATTATTCCTCTGACATCATTTATACTAATCAAAACTATACACATTCTGCAATAATTTAACTTTACAAGAGTCCAAAAATGGAGTATTGCTGCTATATCTGGGCCCAAGTCTCCCAATCATCACGTTTCCTCTTTGACACAGTTCAAAATCAAGCTTTGATGTCTTATTTTCCACCATCTCTCTCACTCCAAAAGCTTCTTCCTAAGAACCGCTACTTTGTGAAACAGACTTCTGCGTACATATTTCCCGATGACTACAACGAGTCATACATTCAATGTAAATGGTAATGGCAATATTAGCTACTTCCTTATAAGGAAACATTCGACATCCATTTATCGATCAGTTTGTCGATTAATATTTATAAAATCTTTCTCTTAAGACATTTCTCGGGAAGATAGGTTTCTCAAGTCTAGTACGTGTTATCGCTCTTTTCAGTATCGATGGAAATTTCCTTGAGTTATGTGAAATAGGAGGAAGTAGAAATTAACCCTTTACCTTGAGTGGACATGTGTTGTATAGTAAAAAAAATGGTAATGTAACATATACAGAGGGAAAAACTAGAGACAAAAAATCTAAATCCCATTCAAATAAGGTTATCCACAAAACAGCTAAATCCCATTGCAATAAGAGTACACTCAAAGAATCTAAATCCTGTTCAAATGAAGGTATTCTGAAAAAATATAAATCCAATTCAAGTAAAGGTAGCTTGAAAAAATCTAAAAAACATTCAAGGGCATCCTCAAAAAACTCTAAATCCCATTCAAAAGAGGGTATCAACAAAAAAATCTAAATCCGATTCAAATAAGGGTATCCTCAAAAAATGTAAATCGCATTCAAATAAAAGTAACGTTAAAAAATGTAAATCCCATTCAAATAACGGTATCGTCAAAAAATCTAAATCCCATTCAAATAAGATTATCCACAAAACAGCTAAATCCCGTTCAAGTAAGAGTATCCTCAAAAATCTCAATCCCATTCAAATAAGAGTATCTATTATAAATCTAAATTCCATTCAAGCAAGGGTATCCTCAAAACATCTAAATTTAATTCACATAAGGGTATCCTCAAAAAATCTAAATTCAATTTAAATAAGGTGTATCCTAAAAAAATCTAAATTCCATTCAAATAAGTGTATCCTCAATAAATCTAAATCTCATTCAAATAAGGGTATCCAAAAAACATCTAAATTCCCTTTAAATAGGGTATCCTAAAAAAAATAAATCCGATTCAAATGAGCGTATCCAAAAAAACTCTAAATCCTATTCAAATAAGGGTATAATCATAAAATCTAAATCCGATTCAGTTAAGTGTATCCTCAGAAAATCTAAATCACATACGAATAAATGTATCCGAAAAAATCTAAATCCCATTCTACTAAGGGTATCCTCAAAAATCTAAATCCCATTCAAATAAGGGTATCCTCAAAAAAGCCTAAATCCCATTCAAATAAGGGTATCCACAAAACATCTAAATTCGATTCAAATTAGGGTATCCTAAAAAAATCTAAATCCCATTCAAATAAGTGTATCCTCAATAAATGTAAATCGCATTCAAATAAGGGTATCCCAAAAAGATCTAAATTCTCTTTAAATAAGAGTATCCTCAAAAAAAATAAATCCCACTCAAATGAGGGTATCTAAAAAAAATCTAAATCCCATTCAAATAAGGGTATCCATAAAACATCTAAGTTCCATTTAAGTTAGGGTATCCTCAATAAATCTAAATCCCATTCAAATGGGGGTATCCACAGAAAAATCTAAATCCGATTCAAATAAGGGTAATCTGAATGAATCTAAATTCCATTCAAACAAGGGTATCCACAAAAAATCTAAATCCTATTCAAATAAGGGTATAATCATAAAATCTAAATCCGATTCAGTTAAGGGTATCCTCAGAAAATCTAAATCACATACGAATAAATGTATCCTAAAAAATCTAAATCCCATTCTACTAAGGGTATCCTCAAAAATCTAAATCCCATTATATTAAGAGTATCCTCAAAAAACCTAAATCACATTCAACTAAGGTATCCACAAAAAATCAAAATCCCATTCAAATAAGGATATCCTCAAAAAATCAAATAAGGGTGTCCACGAAACACCTAAATACCCTTCAAATAAGAATATCGTCAAAAAATCTAAATCCCATTCAAATGGGGATATCCACAGAAATATTTAAATCCTATTCAAATTAGGTTATCCTCATTAAATCTAAATCCCATTCAAAAAAGATTATAATCTAAAAATCGAAACCCCATTCAAATAAGCGTATCCTCAAAAAATATAAATCTAATTCAAATAGAAGTATCCTCAAAAATATAAATCCCATTCAAATAAGGTTATCTAAGAAACAACTAAATCACATTCAAATAAGAGTATCCACAAAAATCTAAATCCCATCCAAGTAAGTGTATCCTCAAGAAATCTAAAACCCATTCAAATTATGGTGTCCGCGAAACACCTAAATTCCCTTCAAATAAGGGTATTCTCAAAAAATCTAAATCCCATCCAAATGGGGGATATCCACAGAAACATTTAAATCCTATTCAAATTAGGGTATCCTCAAGCAATCTAAATCCCATTCAAATAAAGGTTTCCTATTCAAATAAGGGCATCCACAAAAAGTCTAAATCCCATTGAAATAAGGGTATCCACAAAAAAAATCCAAATCGTATTCAGATAAGGATATCCTCAAAAAAATCTAAATCCCATTCAAATAAGTGTATCCTCAAAAAATATAAATCCCATTCAAATAATGGTATCCTCGAAAAATCTTACTCTCATTCAAATAAGGGTACCCTGAAAAAATCTATATCCCATTCAAATAAGGGTATCCTCAAAAAATCTAAATCCCATTCATGTTATGGTATCCTCAAAAAATTTAAATCCCATTCAAATAAGGATATCTTCAAAAAATCTAAATCCCATTGAAATAAGGGTATCCACTAAAAATCTAAATTCTACTCAAATATAGCTATCCACTAAAAGTAACGTTTAATGTGATGAAATATCTCGGATCAATAAATAAAAATCCTTCTGTTCCATAGAAATATCTAAATTGAAATTGTAAATTCATCACAATTATTGTAGGTTTCTTAAATTACGTCTACGACAAATTATTAACGTCGTTATAGAATGACAGTACGAGAACAGATGAAAGAATGTGAGAGGGCAAAATTTATGACAGGTAATGAAATATGGCTTTGAAATAAGTTTTGTTACTTGCAGCTTGTTTTTTTTTTTTTAGTTTATCTTGGTTATTTTTTCAGTTCTTTGCCTCTTTACCATTGTTATATCATCAGATTCTCGATTTGACAAGACTTTTCTAAATTGTCGTGCTTCTTATCTACACCGCCTACACACAAACACACAGATTAAACATATACACATGTGTGTGTGTCTGTTCGACATTAAAAATATACTGTTCACTTCTGCTATTATTTAGGCAACGTCATAATTCCATCGTCACTGATTTTTTTGTTTTACTCAGCAACCCACTACTATAGATGTCTTTTGCAGTTTCCCTTACCAAATAAAAAAAATCAATAAATACTGTAAAACGGTTTTAAATGACAATCCGAAGTTACAATATTCAATGAATTCAGCGAATCAGGGAAAATTTTCCAGTCAAGTTGTAACGATTTGTACCTCATAACCAAAATACCATGCAGTCTAGCATTATCCTGGAATATTATGCACTTTTAATTAATTCCATATGCTTCTTATGTATTACTGTTTTTCTCTGAGAGCTGTACGTGTCCGAATCAGTCGTTTGATTTTTCTGAAAGGAATTTATGATAAAGTCATGGGAGACGAATAACATAGCCTAGAGTTGGTGCCAATGATTTTCAATGGTTCATTTGGATATTTTGAGTTATGTTGACGATATACCACATCCGAACTTGTCTATGTCACCATGAAGGATAGCACAGTGAAATCTCCAGCAGGAAACCTTCCAAATCACTTTTGACACTTTTGATCATTCACAAATACTTCATAAATTGTATAAATCTGTCTTTTTAGTCTTAAAATGTATGCGACTGGTTAGCATTTTTGCTCCTGTTTAATTAAAAATGGCATAAAAATGTTGCTTATTTTCTCCCTTCCTTATTGTTATGACCAATAAACATTTTTTTTAATATTTTTTCAACAATACACATGTTTAAGTATTTTTATTGTTTCTTTTGTTTTCTCTATATACAAATCTTAATGAAAATGAGCCATTACCATACATAGTTATTATTATGCTTTAGATATTTCGACGTTTTCAATTCATTGTTTCCGTCAAGTGCTCAAAACATTTTTTTGTGGGGAGGGTACAATTCTAAAATGAGGTATTAGTTTCATTCCATAACATTTTGTATTATCATGTCCAGGTATATTAGTGTTTACTACTTTTTTTCGAGTTTAATCATTGGGCCACAGATATTACTACGATCTTATAATATGGATTGTTAGACTAAAAAGTAATTTGTATATTTGTGTTCGATTTTTAGTGTAATGTTATCATTGTAACGACCTAATAAAAATACGAGACTAAATCTTTCATACGTAAAGTTATTCTTTATTCATTTCTGAATTTCTCTAATTAATTAGAGTGTGTAACTTGTGGACTTTCTTCGAAGGTTGATCTTGTTTTCGCGAGAATGTGAAAGACTCTGGCTTTTCTCTCTTGAATGGTTCGCTGATAAATGTTTCTTGTCATCCGGTTGTTATGCATGTGCTCATCCTTAGCTTGGCTGGGTCGACCTCCTGTTTCCGTGTCGAGGCAGCCATTGATATCCTTTCAGATCCGATTCTGCACTTTGTTGATTGTCAACCTTCTAATTCACTTAGCTCCTTTGATTCTCTAGTGTGACACCGAGTGCAGGGCCTACTTTGGTATTACTAAGGGTACATACTGGAGTCGCCAAAGATCAACTTCTGTAATAAATCGCAACAAATTATGCGGCACTTATTTAGATTAACTGCGTTACTTAGATCAATTACTTCGCTACTTTATATTTAATCTAAAAAGTCTTAGTTGGCAATAGTATAAGTGACAGATTACTATAAGAAAGAACTAGTGATTACAGCTAATAATTCACTAATGATTGTTTGCGTCACGTCGCAATAATAGTAAACAAAATGATGCACTAAAATAAGTAACCAAATAATCGTTTTAAGTTCTCTGAAAATCACTACCATTAAATGGACATTAAATTCAATTCAGACCTCTGGTATTTCCTGGTGTGAATCACAGACTATGTTAGGAATGACTCTGGACGGAAAAAATACACATGATGAGATTATCGAAACCCTGGTGCTTATATTGTGTACAAGAATTTCTGATAGGATGCGATGTACACTGCCAGAAAATCACTGATACAATCATTGTAAACATGAGGATGGCTGTTGGAAAAATCATTTACTGAATTAAGTAACGTTCACATTCTTCATCGTAACGCTAGAAGCCAAAGTAATAATGGTTAAAAATATCATATTTTGTCTACCTGGTCGGGCCGGCCATCCGTAACAAGATAGATACCCTGTGTACTAGGATCAGCCAAAGCGATTCTGAGGGCTGCGTATGTGTTGGTTGATCCACCACATGGCTGCCGCTTCAACCATTCGAATGCATCTAATATATTTTTAGGAGTCACTTCAGTCAGTTTTTCCTTCCACGTAGAGGCCCTCCTGCTGAAAGTGACAATGTTAATTTTTTTCTTGTGCTGTAATTGTTCCTAAAAACGAAAAGAAAAAAAATATAATTTGTATAACACGATCCGAGTTTAGAGTTCAGAATCTGAAAGAGACTTTTTTATTAGTTGTTAAGAATTGATGATTAAACCTTGAAATCTGAAGAATGATGTCGCAGTAAAATTCAACCATTAATGAACCTTTCATAGAATCATAAAAAAAAATCTAAATTAAATGTAAATGTATCCATACCAGATCTCAACTATACATTACTTAGTTTGACCTCGGAACAGATTTTGAAGTTGATTTCTTCTGCAAATAAGCAGAAGCCAATTAAAAAGAGAAAACAACGAACAATTGAATACGGTTTAATGAAATGCATGAATACAAAAATCAAATATCGAATTCAATAGGACCAGTTTAGAAGACCAAGCTATCAGTAACTATCAGGATAGTGATTAGAACTTTTTAATCCTATTAGAATATTATACCATATATCAGTGGATATAAACCTTTGTCCACCTTTCCTGAATCGAATAGTTTAAAAAGTGTTTACATGTAAAGACACCTTTTTAAGGAATATATATGTTGCTGCTTGCAGAACATTTTGTGTACATAAGTATTTTTATGTGCGCAAAATGACAGTATTCATATTCATATTACATTTCAAGAGATGAGAAAAAGTATAAGACAAAATTAACCCGAACCACTCATAATATTATTTGCCTGTTTACTTAACTAATGCTATTTATAAATTTAAATATTTTATTTCTTAAACTAGAATTGTACAATTAAAAAATGTGTAGGACCACAATGATCTCAGAAAATTAGCCACGGGCCGCAAAATTTATATAGTAAATTACTGAGTATGAGTGAAATAGAAACAAATAGAGAAAGATAGAAGGGTGACGAGAAAATTCTCTCTTTTGCTTTTTCTATGGAGCGTGAAAAGGATTAATTATATACAAAGACAGTAAAGTAGTCCTAAATAAATGTGCTCCTGAACTGGCTCCTGTTCTCTCTAAACTCTACAATAAATGCCTTGATGCATCTTGCTTTGCTACTTGTTGGAAATCCTCATCTGTAGTTCCAGTCTTTAAGAATTCAGACGAACCAAATGATCTTTCTAACTATCGGCCTATTAGCCTTCTAACTCTTTTTGGCAAAGTACTAGAGATTCTAATTAAGTCTAACTTGGTGAAGCATCTCACATGGCAGGGTCTCCTTTAAGTTAATCAATATGGCTTTCACTTTTCAAAGTCAACTGCTGATGTATTAACGGTTATTGCTGAAGAAGTCTAACAAGCTTTAGATAAGAATGGTGACTACTCTATCCTTGGAACTTGTCTTCATTTTAACTTGTCTTATGCCATTTGAACAGCGTTTGTAATTTTCATAAATGACCTTTCTGGTGTCATCAGTTCTCAACTCGGTATCTATGCTGATGATACAACTATTTACTCCTGTCTTAATAGTAAGGCTGATTTGTTCGATAAGTTTAAATTGGCAACTGATCTCTTCTCGGGCTAATGCTTTCAGCTGACATGAAGTGGAAAAAGTATATTGAATCAACTACTAAGTCTGCAGTTAAGAAAGTTGGTTTACTATGCCGTTCTAGGCAATTTTTCTCCCCAGAATCTATCTTATGTAATCAATAAGAATTGAGTTGACAGGTTTAAAGTAATTGTCCGGCGTCCATTATTGAGTCTATTATCGTCCGAATACAACGCGAGAATTACGAGATGGTAAGCTGAACCAAAAGACCAAGAAAGTCTCACAAGCTTAAAAGACTGGACTTTGCGATTTAAGATAAACAAATGATCCTAAAGAATTCTTTTAAATATGTCCATTTATACTTATTCAATGATTACAAAATTTTAGACTAAAGTCTTTACTATGTTTCATTGGCATTAAAATTGTCCTTCATTGTTCATTAAATATACACAGTGGAAATGATGAAACGTGTTTCATAACAATACTTAAATAAGAAATAAAATCCACACATCATGACAACACATCGTATTTCTTTGAAATTCCCAAAGTTTTATCAATAAACCTATATTTATCATAACCTTATAAATTATCCTATAATCCTATAATAATTCTATAAATTATTGTCTTCCCACTGTACAAACTTCTTAAAAATATCTGTACTCGACAATTTGTAATAACGGAAACAAAGACTTACAAAAATCTTTTCTGCGAACCGTATGGATCGAATAACAGGTAAATATATATGCGTGCTTACATGTGTATGTGTGTGTGTGTGTGTGTGTGTGTGTGTGTGTGTGTGTGTGTTGCGAGTGTATTTTAGCCATTACCAATAGTCAAAAAACATCATTAAATTCTTGATTTCGTTACACAAGTACAGCATTCTCCTAACTTATCATTTATCGAACCATGGAGCAATGTGTGCACATATCGATCATCATATCGCATACAAACAAAATACAATTAACATAAGAAAAATATTAATAAATAATAGCAAATATTATAACAGTACATACTCTAAGCTATTATTATTATACAAAAGAAACAACCCGTATTAAATATGTTTAATGTTAAATACTCTATAAAATATCCAAATGCGTATAAAATCATCATCATCATCATCATCATCATCATCATCATCACTGTCAGTCCCATGATTGGATGGGATCATTTGGTCGTCGCGCAGCTGAATACTTGACCCCTACACATATCCTCAGTTGAAATGCGGAGAGGTATTCATTTATGCATAGTGTAACTTGCGCAAGTAGATCTGGCAGAACTGTTCCCTCTTAATGGTCAAACCACAGACGATGTTTTCTATCCTGAAAACTCACCTTTAGTCACGGACACGTGGCCGTTGATTTCATAAAGGAAATACTCCATCCTTCAGTTTAGGGCGTTCTCAGCCCAGCGATTTCCTTATACTGGCTGTATGCATAACTAGGGAGACCAGTTGATCTCATTCTGTTAGATGGCCATCTCTAAGAAGAAAACGGTGTGAAGGTTTGCGGGCAGAAGAAAAGCAGATTGTAACCTTAATAGAGAAAGAATGGAGAAATTCTATGGAAGAGCAAGACAGCTAAGATTATCTTCAAAACAGGAGAAACAAATATCATGAGAGGATAAATTGTATGAAGGATGAAGAAAGAGAGGATTATTTTCAGAACACGAGAAACAAAGTAGATGAATGGAGAAATGCTATGAATCAGAGAGAAAGACATGACTAACTTCAGAACATGAGACAGAGTTCAAGAGAGCAATTGCTTTGAATTAAGATCAGCCTATAAGGTACTAGGTTGTCGAGAGGAATGTCATTTACCAATATTGTATTGCATATAGATTCATAAGTGAAGTGTTGAATTACTTCCAAAATAGAAAGGTATCACTGCCTAACTTACAAGAATATTCTGCTCCACTCAAAATATGGGACTTTTTACTAGAGGAGGAATGAGCAAATAGAGAACATGTACAACCAAGGAGAATTTCGATGTATTTTATTTCTTGTCACGATACAAGACTATAGAACAACTCTACCAACAACGAGGTTGAGGAAATATGTGTTGGAGAAGATACAGCACTTTCACTTCATCGACATATTGTTGTTTATCTACATAGACAGCAAAAACAATGAGTATCTTATATCTCCTGTCATCTGTATCCCATAGTTTATACAATTCATTTTCAAACAGAGAAAAGGAATATAATCATGGAACACGTCCAAGAACGGCAAAGAAGAGTGCACAATAAAGTTATCATGCAACAGTATGATCGTTATCATTTGGCAATAAGAAAAAATTTTAGTAACATACATCTTTCAGGAAAATTATTTAAAAAAATATAATTGATGTCTGCGTCAAAGTCGAAATGTGTCGCCTAAATCTCACTAGATATAACCAAACTCAGGTTAAAATGGCTTTATACTCTGGTCTCATGGATTGTTTAGGAAGAAATTGTGCTCGATCCCAGCGTTCTGATTCCAGCATTTTCGTTTTCGGGAAGCCACAAAAATATTCAACAATCTTACCAAGATGCAATTGTAATTGTTTAGAAATACGGTAAACCTGATTTATTTTTAACTTATCAATGTAACCCAAATTGTCCAGAAATAACTGAAACCTTGAACCATCAGAACCAACTGAAAACAGACCTGAGTTGATCACACGCGTTTATAAGTCTCATAATAATGAGCTTATGGTTGGCATTGCAGATAGGTTTATACTGAATATGATGCCCGTAGCTGACGTACATGTCATCGAATTTTAAAAAAGATGTCTTCCTCACTGCCAAATGCTTATAATGCTGAATGATGACCAAAATAAAACCTGAAAAGACAACAAATTGACGAAAATGTTTCTGTTGAAATGCCAGAGAGACAAGAGCCTCTTCTCCGAAAATTAGTAAGATACCTAATGATACATGATCCTTGTGGACCTTATTATCCTACATTTCCTTGTACGATGAATGGTCAGTGCCAGAAAGATTTAGAGAAGAAACTGTTGAAAACATTGAGGGTTATCATGCCTATAAAAAACGTAATAATTGTAAAACTATATTGATAGGGAATTATCACGTAGATAATCGAAATTTAGTGCCTTTCAACTTTCTTCTGAAAAGATATCAAGCACATATTAACTTTGAGGTATGCCCTTCGGTAAAAAGCATTAAGTACATATTCTAATATGTATACAAACGATATAAATGCGCAATACTGGAACTCAAGAATCGAGAGAGAATTGCAACTAAAGCGGGGGGTGAAGATAAGGATAAGAATATGATGAAATCAAGCCACTTTTATCATTCAGATATATTTCACCCCCAGAAGCTATGTGTCTTCTCACAGAGTGCAAAATGAAGGGACAGTCTCATATAGTTTATCGTTTAGCTGTTCAATTACATGGAGACCAGTACGTGTCTTTACACGAAGGTCAGGTGGTGCACGTTGCTGGCCACTCACAACGACGTGATATGCACTTAACTACATGGTTTAAATTAAATCAATTTGATGAGGCAGCCTAGAAAGTTTATCGACTTACCATGAACATAGGTGACATCT